CTGTTGAGAAAATAATACAGGATAATCTTTTTGCCTGCCTAACTCTCAAATAAAAGGTGACATTTTGAAAAGACATTATTTGTCTCCTGCGATAGTAGCAACATGTTCTTTAAAGTAGATTTGTTGAAACTTTTTGAAAAGGTGTGCTCTTCTATTTAAAAAATGAAGATGTTCCCCCAAAATATCTTCAAGTGTTTTTAATTATGTGCGCTTTGCATTGTAAAATTACCTTAGGCACCAAGTGAACACATTTCTTCTCTCAAAGTAGACGGTAGATATATGTTGCCTCATATGGAAACAATGAAAGTCAGATTCCTTCTTATGAATTGTGATGGCTTTTATTTGGTTTTGGGTGTCAACAGAAAGTAATGTCAAAGCACTATCATCAGAAATAGACATAATTGTTGCTCGAATTCTCCTAAAAGAAAATGAAAAGCCAGACATTTTAATTCTTTATGTTGAGATTTTGCTATGACCTGTGCAGATTTGTTAGAGTTAAATGCAGCGGAGTGGAAGTATGTGTTACAGTTTGGAAATTATGCAAAAAATAACTGTTTTGATGCTCAGGGTATTTTGATCTTATGCTGTGCAGCTGTAAAGCAGCAGCACATCAATGGTCCTGGATATACCTTTCTGTGTGGTGCAATCCTCTGTGCAAAGGTTAGAAGTACAACTCATCTTGCATTAAATATTAGACTGTGCTTGGCAGCTTCAGAGAGGAAGTCATGTCTTTATAAGCCATCTATGGAGCTGAGACAAAAAAAGTGTTTCTAATTTATGTAGACAACTGATAGTAAAATGCTGCTGAGTTGAGCTCTCCATTGGTCCTTGTGAAAGAATGTATCTCGGCCAAAACTCCTCAAGGTAGATGTGCTCCTGCCCTTTGTCATGGGGACAGCAAACAACAGTAGGATTCTCAGATTACCAGGTGAAAGAAAAAGTTGTCCAGACACCAGAAAGGACAATGGTGATGTGCAGAAAAGACAGAACAGGAATGCACAAGGAGTCTGCATGCACAAGGAAAAATACAGGTGTAATGCTCAGGGGAGCTAACCAGTCTCTTCTGGATGATTTCAGCAGCAATTGGGGCATGCGATGCCTCTTGACCTGCAGTTTATGTAAAGCATATGTGGTTTATATATATATGTGTGTGCTTTTATATATAGTTTATATAGTCTGTGTATAGTTTATATAGAACACATATGTTGTGCAGTGCTTTGCTTTCCTTTGTCTATGGGAAATCACAAAAGTTATATGGCAGTTTTCATGGAATTCCCTGTATTAACATTCGAATATGGTAGTATTTTACAATCTCCTCTTAATTTAAAAATATAAGAAGTTGTAAAATGAATGTAAGGTATAGATCTGTATATTTAAGGAACCCAAACAGCCTTAGTAGTGTCCTAGAGTGCCATCATATAATAATTGTTCTTTTCATCTCCTCAATCATTTGGTATGCTGAAAGTATGCATGCTGGGCAGAAATCTAAGCTACTGCAATCACCTGTTCACTTGTTGCCACTAGGATGTGAAACAGTAACTTGCCTAATGATTGTTATAAACTGATGTGTTTTAGTTCTGGATTGAGAAAGGAGTAGGAGCACACACATGGTTTGTTACTGTAGCTGGACTAATCACTAAAAATTTACACGCTTGGTTCTCTCTTCTTGCTGCCTCGGCAGGCCTTCATTATTCCAGGTGAAGATTGTCAGAGTACAGAAATGAAGTACAAAACTGAATGCGAAGGAAACATTTCCTCTTATGACCTACTTATTTCAGTAAAGAGGTATTTTTTGTGAAATGCCAAGTCTTACCCTGACCTCATCATGTCAGACTATATACATAAGCAGAAAGGTACAGAATAACCACCATCAGTTTTTGATGGGTTTAGAGTATCTCCAAGTATGCCTGACTGAAATAATGTTTAGTCATTTAATTGCTGAAATACAGTGAGTTTTTTTTTAAAGAAAGGAAAATGTGGAATTTAGAAGAAGCATTGCTTCAAATAAAAGTATCTTTCCATTAACATATGTCCATTAAGGGAAGAATAAAGATGCTTCTCAGCATATTGGTTTTGTATGGGTCAGTATACAACAAGAAGGATATCTTGTGACCATATTCAGACCTCAGCCCTTAGGTACCTAATTTCAGCTCCTGTTTTCTCTGGGAAAAATGATGTAATACAGTTAATCTTGAAAGTTGTTCGATGTGACTATCATATATATCATATATAAAAATCATGTCATATTATATCACATCACCCTATACCCTTTATTGCCTTAATGGAAAGGCTATGAAGATATTTTTTCCAGCATGAGATCAACTACAAACTGCATAGAAAATGAGCAATGCTTTACTTGTCGTCTTTTTGTAGTTGTTTTGTACTGAATTTTTCATAGTATATAACTGAGTACCTAATCCTACTGTGCATGCTGATGTGTTTCTAGTACTATAGCCAGTTTAAAATTTTCTGACGCAAGTGGCACATCTTGTGTCCAATCTAAGGAGAAGCCACTGCTACCCTGTGCTTCAGATTCTCTTGCAACCACTTTGAGTTACTCCTTCTCCACCCAAGAAATCTCTGGAGCGAGGAAGTCTTGAATGGACAGGGTGTTTTATATGCCACCTAACTTACAGTGATATTTCATGGCCTCAAGACAGCATCTGTGTTCCCGGAAGGTGTAGCATAAGTAGTACACTTGACTGTGCTGGTTTTGAGGACGCGGGGGCCAGTGCCACATCAGGGGAAGAGGAAGGCTTTGGACACTGCTCAGGGCAGGGATGAACTGTGTCATTCCTTGGAAGATGTGAGGAAAGGGAAACAAATCGAATGGGCTTTGGCAATGGTCCCAAACAGGTTGAGGAAGAGAATTAACCGCATTAATGATTAATGATGGCAAAGCTCATTCAGCTTGAAAAGTACTTTCTATAAGTGCTAAGTGCTGGCATTAAAAATGTATGCATTTTCATTTTAATCCACACTTGATGTCTGCAAATGGAGACGAAAGGGAAGAGCCAGCAGTGTTGTTATGGCAACACTAATACCTCACTACAGTTGAAATTGCAGTTTGCCAAGGCACGCAGCCTAGGACCTGGTTCTTGAGAGCTCAGCCTGCTGTGGTTGCTGCTCGTGGTTCTCTTGAATGGCTCCACCACCTGCCCTGCAGAGCTCTAAGTGAAGGATTGGAAACCTTCTGCAAGTCGAACGTCTACTAGGTGAGCAGTTGTCTTCGTTAAATTCCTACTGATAGAGAGGAAGACATAGACCGTAGTCTATCACATGTGGATTTTTTTAAACATGGAAAACTTTTAAAGATATCAATTATCCAGTCTGTTTTTCTTTCCAAAAAATGGAGCAGTCATCTCTGTTGAGTAGGAGACGCAAGGAAAGGGACTCTAACAGAAGCGATTTGTTGTGCTATCAAGGTGGTGGCATGTTGCCACCAGAAAATCTAGAGCAGCAGAAATTATGTGAGCAGGAAGTGAAGTTTTTGCTGCAATCAAGCTGCCAGAGGTAAAAATCTAAATTGTTAACATAGGTGATAAGGTCTCTGAAAGGAGAGGAATCGACATATCAAGAGGCAGAACAGAAAGAGAAGAGGCTGAATGAGTAGACTCAAAGTCTAGACCTTAGCAGCTACAAGCCCTGTGTAAAGGGTTAGGCTGGAAATGCGCTCATTGATGGACCTGTTTGGCATGGTTGGAAGGAAGAAGCGGCTTTGTTCTCCGACCTGCAGTTGGGCACGCAGGGCTCAGCAAGGTCGGTGCAGCCCTTTGCCTTCCCAGGCTGATGGTGGGTCAGCGGCTGCGTGCCTTTTGCATGTCTGAAAACACTATTTGAAGACCCTGTTTGCCAGCTTGCTGCAGAATGTGCAATTCTCGCCTCCCACGCAGCTGTATGCTGAGCTGCTTTTGTGTCTTCATTTCACTCTGCTGTTGGTCTGGCCTCACTCTCTATTCACCTATCTGGTAATGGAGGGTGAGGGACCTACTTTCTGTTACTGTCTCCAGTTTGCCACTGCAAACTCGTGAGCAGGGTGAGAACACCAAGGGTGACCCATCTGCTGGAAAGCAGACCGTCGTTTGCTCTTTCTGTGTAGCGTCAGGCTGGAAGAAGCTGCACGGTATCTGCAGAGAGAAGGATCTCTCCCTATCACTCCCCTTGCCTTCCTGGCAAATGGCTATGCAATAGCTCATACCTTGATGTGGGAGGTGTGGAGGTGGAGCAGGGTGGTTGCTCTTCGAGAGTAAAAAGGTTTGGTCTTAATTTGCCCTTAGTCCAAAATATCCACCCTTCTTCTCTGTTTTGTCGACAGTCGTGCTGTACTCTACTGTTAGATGCTACGTTTCTAGTTATGACTTGGGTAAAATGCTGTGGTTGCTAGGAGAGGAAAGTATTAGTATTACCAATATTTATTATTCAGTCCCCATGGAAACTGTAGTTCTTCTAGGAGTCCTAGTTCTCCCATTTTTTTCTTCCTATGGAAAAGATAGATCTTTAACCATGAAGTTCAGATAGCTATTTCCTAGAAATAGAAGGCAAGATACACCACTCCCTTTTGCTCTCTGGTATGCTTGACAGATGTCTGTCTATGGGTAGTCTCTGCTTACTAAGCTGTGTTGTGGTTTCTAGTCACATAAAGATTTTTGGAGTGTGGTTAATTTAATTTTATCTTAGTGGTGTTTTATTGTGTTTTTTTTCCCCCTCCTAGCTCCCAGTTTGATTTGTCATTTTAACTATTACTGTTTTTTTTTTTTAATTTGCTGCATGTTTTAAACTGAGGAAGAGCTACTTGATGAGGAAATGAACTTGCTATTTTCTATTTAAAGGTATAACTGTGACAAAAGCTGTGAGCATGACCCATGGTTGTAAGAGGGACACAGTAGCATCTGGTTTTTCAAATAAGTTTGAGTTCTTCAGGTTTTCAGAGGAAAGCTGTTAAAATATGGAGTGGTTTATTCTTCGTGGGATAGTTAACTCAGTCTTTGGCTCTCTTACAGTGCCTAAAACAGTATGTGGAACTTTTGATTAAAGAAGGTCTAGAAACAGCAATCAGCTGCCCTGATGCTGCCTGCCCAAAGCGAGGTCATCTGCAAGAAAATGAGGTACACTTTTACTGCAAATAGGTTGTGGATTTTTTCTTTTATTTCTAGGATGTTTAAACGTATCTTGCTCTGTATGTTGCAGCTGCCATTGTTGCCAACATACATTTTTAATAATTCTCTGAAGGTCAAATATTTTGACTCCATTTGTTGAAAATGCCTCAGATTATTGCTGTTCCTAACTGGAAATTTGTCTTTTCCTTTTCCTTCCTTTAACAGATTGAGTGCATGGTTGCATCAGAAATCATGCAAAGGTACAAGAAGCTACAGTTTGAAAGAGGTAACGTGTGTAACACTACCTATTGGAAGACTGCGGGAATGGTATCATTCCAGAGCCATCTCATAAATCGGAATCTGGCTCTGCACATTTTCATGCAGTAGCATTGTGCATTAATTGTTTGGTCATCACAAAAACCAAAAACAACACACCAAAACCCAAAAAACGTTGTTTCAGTTCTTGCCTGGGTGATTCTCAGAATTGCAACATTCTGGGAATAAACTAAGGAAAGAAAATTGCTAAGTATTACATTCCTGTGTAACTAAGGGAGGGAGTGACTTCTATTTCGAGCTTTGCTGTTTGAGTTGACTACCAGTACTCCAGGGGCTGGGGAGGTAGACTGACTGTTTTTACAGAGCCACCGTTACCTTGTGTTATGGCATCTGGAGCAGAATTACTAGGTGGTTCATGATAATATGAACCTTGTTAATTTTTATGAGATTATAAGCTGTCTGGGTGCCTATGACGATATGGAACTGTGTGGCCATAGAGAACTTACAGTAAGGTTTTGCTGAGGGTAGGGCCCAGCCTAGAGACCACTGAAGTAATTTGTTGTTTTTTATTGACTTCAGTAGGCTTTGAAACATGAAATGACTTAACCTGCCTCCAAGAAGGGGATGAAACTGTATAACAGTCATAATATGCTATTGTTAATCATGTGGTTACATTAGGGCAGAGACCAATTTGAAACAGAGCCCTACTGGGCAAAGCACTGTAAAAACACTTTCTGATGGGTTATGCCTGCATAGTATATGCTCTATTTAACTTCAAGTACAACTGAAGAAAAATGCAACATCTCAGTCTCAGAACAAGTTAAGTTCAGTGAATGAAGGAAAGTGGGCAATGAATTCAAACTCGGGAAATTGGGCTTTAGTTTGGTGCCTGTTTGCAAAGCAAGCCGGATTTATGTCTAAGTGGGTAGCATAAATTAAAAGGCTTCTTTTGAAAATATATGTCTTCAAAAGCCCTGTCAGTCAACCTCAGCTAGAGTACATTGTTATGGAAGGCCGATCTTGTAACCGCCTTCAGATTTTGTTCCTTTATGCCCCTTTACAGAAGTGCTTTTGGATCCATGTCGGACTTGGTGTCCATCCTCTACTTGCCAGGCAGTTTGCCAGCTCCAGGAATCAAGCCCACAGGACCCCCAGCTGGTCCAGTGCAAGGCCTGCGACATTGAGTTCTGCTCTGCTTGCAAATCTAATTGGCATCCAGGTCAAGGCTGTCAAGAGAACATGCCAATCTCTTTTCTTCCAGGAGAAACAAGGTAAATTGTTGCAAAAGATCAAGTATTTAAAAACAAAGCACTCACATCTTTTGACAAATGGGAGTATGGATAGTAAAGAGGCATTTTCCTGATCTTTTGTTTTAAAGCTGTTTCCTTCACTTAGTCATTCCTGTTCTTTTAATGCTGTATTCCAAAACTGAATAGCTCTTGTGGCCTCGCTCCTTGCCACCATTCCCGGCAAAGCACAAAGGAACTGCTTGAGCCTATGTCAGCTGCCCTTTTACCCCAGTGGGAAAAACATGATATCCAGGCAGCTCATGAGCTTCCCTTCAGAGAAGATCTCGTTGCTGCTGCTAGTCTGGACAGTGTGAGAGTTGGTAATGTCATACCATACAGTGATTTTTAGGATACTCTGTCAACTATCCTAATTGTTGCATGTTTGACCAATGATCTTAAGTTCTGTTTCAAGCTGTTGCCAGTGGCACACTGCAGCCAGTGAATAAGAAAGGCTGTTGTGCATGTGTTTCACTTAATGCTTGGGCTTTTTCGAAGATTGTACAGCAGTTCAAGGTATCATTAAAGCCTTGACCAGCTTTGGACTTAGCTGTTCATAACTTGCTTTCTTTCAAGCTTTGCTGTAACAGATGACTAGATAGGATGCTGTCATGATGAGTTCCTGGTCAAATGTAGTAACTTTTGCGCATGCTTTTTGTGTGTGCTTGACCAGAACTGAAGCTCACTAAACTTCATGGCAAGGTAAAACACTTTATCTATTTTCCTTAGTGTTTTGCTTGCTTTCAGTTTTTATTTCATGCTTCATTTTTTACTCAGTTGAGGTTTGTTTTTTCATTATTTTGAGCATAATGTGCCAGTAGCAGTTTGTGCTACCATGCTTTTGCAGTTTCATATACAGTTTATGGATTCAAGGCATTTTTCTGTGATACAGTTGCCCCTAGTGTGATTAATCAGTGTGTCGTTTTATCCTCCTGTTGGGCAAATCAACCAAGGGTCAAGCCTGTTTTCCAGCAAACTGTTGATTCCTCATCAGTGACTCTTGTATCTCCCACTGTCAGTGGCTGCAGGAAGTGTCATTTGTTCATGTACATGTTAGTTTTTAGTGTGCATAAAGCCTGCAAATGGTAGAAAGGTACTCAAGGGAGATAAATGTTGTTCCAGTGTTTTCACGTTCCTGTGTTGTGCCCACTATATGAGGGGAAATCCAATGGTTTTGCACAGTCATGCAAGACAAGAAGAGGCAGTGCTAACCCTAACTCATGAACCATTACTCATTAGGACAGTCTTAGAGATGAAGAGGTCAACTGTAAGAGAACGGCATGCCCAAAAAAAACTCGTGTTGCCTGATTTGGAGGGAGATTCCTAGGGAGAATCCTCGAGGAGGGCAGAGACAAGCAATCTCTCCCTGGTGCCTCAGTCTGAAGGAATGTAGTCTGGGTTTGTTCTGCCATCAAGGGATTGCTTCCTCTTCTTTTCTGGGAAAGAAGAAAGTACGGAAAAGGAAAATGATCTAGATATACAAAACATTTAACTATGAACTAGCTGCTGCTCATCTGATATATTTCAGGAGGAAAATGTATAATATTTATTAGTATCACTAGATGACAAAAAGTTGATAAAATATGTGGTAAAGAAAATGTCCTGAATCTTATGTAGACATTGTAGTTGTTAAACATGTTTGAAAAGTAGAATACAGCCAAAATCCCTGAATAACAAAACTCAGTTGATTACCTGGATCTCTACTAATTTATCTATTTTTTTTTTTCTCCCGTAAAAAAGTAGGCTTACCTTCTTAGCACAGTGTGCATAAAAGTTCTTTTCTTCATGGCCACCATCTTACTAATTCCTCACTCTCTTTCACAGTTCGGTTTTTAAAATGGAAGAAGATGATGCTCCAATCAAACGCTGTCCAAAGTGCAAAGTTTACATTGAACGAGATGAAGGCTGTGCCCAAATGATGTGTAAGAACTGCAAACACGCCTTTTGCTGGTACTGTCTGGAATCTCTTGACGTGAGTACATGCTGTGCACTCTGGTTCTCAGAAGCTTAGAATTTCATTACTTTGCCATCCAGCTGTCTCATTAATCAGTTAAATAGTAGCTCACTGGCTTCTGCCCAGCTTGGTGGACCAGTACCCCCCTGAGCTGATGCTGGTAATTTGATAGGATTTGTATGCTGTTTTACTTGTCTGACCTGTGCAATCTTAGCATTTTGCCTATGTGAGTCAGGAAATAATTATTAAAAAAGAAAATTTTCTGAAAATATTCAGTTTGTAATCTTTACATGGCAACTAACATGGAGGAGAGACGTTGCGGTGGTTTGTTTTTTTTTTTTTCAGTACTTCATTTAGTACTAGCTTTTCAATGTTCCCCTTCTTTAAGAAGTTACAGAATGAGTACAGTAACGTTCTTTGTGAAAGTTTAACAGACAAACTCTAGATTTGGTGCATTACTATGCAGGAGATTAGCAGTCAGATTTGTTTGCCATTCATTGTATTCTGTGGGACAAGAAATAGATCTGACATATGAAAAAGAATACAATGTTCTCCTAACACCAGGAATTTGTCCATCTCTAAGCTGCTGCTGTCATATGTTCATGTTTTTTTAAAATCAGCCTCTTATTGTGCCCAGGGATCAGAGCATGTAAAATACACAACATCTGTTTCCATGTCATCTGTTTTATTTTATAGCAGCATTAACAATAGCAAAGGAAATGTTTTAGGTTCCTGAAAGCTACTCTGACTATTCAGATCCTGTTGTTGTCCCACTTGAATGCTTTACTAAGTCCTTAAGCCATAGGCTTCTCATGTGCTCAGTTAAAAAGCATTGCTCCCTTGGTACTAGGCCTACTATCCCGACTGTTTTGCCAAAGGATGGCAGGACAGATGGGGATGTAACTTCTCAAAAATCTGTATTGTCCTTTTATTCTTCAACTAATAAAAGGAACCAAGTACTCATTTTCCTTTCCTCTTTCTGTATATGTGCGTAAAATACATGCAATGAGCATCTTATCTTCTTGGTTCCTCTTGCTAATCTCCAACTAGCATTTAAATAATGCAGCTTGAGAGCCTTTGGGAAAAGAGATTCATCATAGACATGTAACACTTGCTAAACAAACCTGTTTGTGAAGACACTTAACTATAAACAAATCACTTCGGAATGGTTGGACCTGGCTGTATCCACCTCACTAAGCTTTTATCTTCCTGTACAATTCCTGGTTATAAGTTCTCAGGAAATAGTATTTTATAACAGTTTTTACTTCTTTTTATTGCCTACCTTTCCATTTAATATTTTGTAGGATGATTTTCTCCTTATACATTATGACAAAGGACCTTGTCGAAATAAGCTGGGACACTCCAGGGCGTCTGTTATCTGGCACAGAACACAGGTAATGCTCAGATCTTTAAAAGCTCTGTACAGGTCTACTGCTGTCCTAGTGCCTTCCTTTGCCTTACTCATTTTAACACCTTGCTGAATGGTAAATAATTTTCATAGCAGATTTAAAGAGAGGAGTAGCTTGGAGAGGAACAGTTAGCTCTCCTAGAGAGGACACTCCTTGGCAGAAAGCCACGGAGAACTAGAAAGGGTACGTTTGCAGAGCCACTTAAGTGCCAATCCAGATATGTCTCAGTAAACATGCAAGACAAACTAGTATGCGACCATCTGTATTACTAACAGGGAAACTCATCTTGCACGGGATCTTTAGCTCCAGATCCGGAACTGGAAAGGAATTAGCCTGAGTATGCTCAGTATCCTGCTGTGGACTCCTGTTGTTTCATTCATGTAGGCTAGGTAGAAGGTAACCTAGTGAGTTTATCAGTAGCTTCAAACACAGATTCAAACTGACAATTACAAAGAAGATGGGGATGCCTCTAGTAGTCTAGATCCAGTCTTTCTGGACCATGAATGCTGGTAATAAAAGAGCTCTCTGTGCTATTTTGATACAACATAAATGCCAATGTGTGACTTGGTTGAATCTACTGCCTTTACAGTCACTTCAGAGATACAGGGACATCTGAGTATCTGAGTTACCTGTTCCTGAATTAACTGTGTGCCAGTAAATATCTACCTTAGCTTGAGATGAAGGGCTTTTCTTGAAGTACAGATTTCATTCCATTTGAGCATAAATTCCAAGTCTAGAGAATAAATCCCAATTCTGAACAAACAGCTAAACTGGTATAAAAGAAGAAGGATTGCACCCCTCTCCCTCCACATACAGCCCTGGGTGCCTGAGCTATGGACTGGGTTTTGCTTGGCTCAGTGGTATCTTAGAAAGTATATGGGTGCATGAGCTTTCTTGATATGTCTGTAATATGAGGTGATTAATCTGATATTTGGAATCTGTTCTTAGCCACAGCAGTTAGTGCAGATATGTTCGATAGACAGCATGTTTGATGTTCTAGTCACTGTTGAGAAAGAAAGTGATAATTCTCTACTGAGCAGGATACAATTCTGCTAAACCCACTAAAGCCCAATCAACATTGCAACCATTTCCTTATGTTAAGTTTCTTTGAGTATTCATCCAAGGCAAATTGAGGTAAGCCTTTGGTTTGTTGTTTGTGGATTTAAAAACAAATATTTGTTTTGGCCAGAGGGGATGGCTTGATGCTGAGTAGGGCAGCAACTTCTTCAGAAGCAACATAATCAAGTGGAAAATAAGTAATACTCAGCAGGCAGTTTTGTTTAAAAAACAAACAATCAAACAGACAAACCCACAAAAACCCCACCCCAAAATAAACAAAAAAAAACCCCACAACAAACAAAATGAAACTTAATGAATTCTCTGATGGCATATTGAGGCTGAAAGGAAGGTGTAAATAGATATCTTATAAAAATGACCAGTAGTTGATCTGGTCCACTGAATTTCTAATTTCCCAGCTTGGCTCTGTCTGACCAGTGCCGTCTTAGCTTGGGCTGCAAGGCGAGAGCATGTGTCTCCAGAGAAGTATGGCAATAGTTGCAGCTCATGATTTTTAAAGGAGATGAAACTTTGGGGTTTTATCTGTAGCAGATAAATGCAAAGATTACCCAATGGAAGTTACATGAGATTGTCAGCACCTCCAAAAAAAGGAACTGGTAATGAAACGTGCACACCTCTGAAGCTGAAAAAGAGATTGCTTTTGGCAAGAAATAAAATAGTTAGGGCAAGGAAGTTTGGGTTCCTTGCCCGTGGACAGCCAAAAGCGAAGACTGAAAGAATTTGGCGTCCTAAGAGACAGCGTGAGAGCAGCAACTGCGGTCGCACAGCGCCATCTCCTGCAACCAGCCTTTCCTCAGCCCTGCCGGAAAACCCCTGGATACTAGGGTTGCAAAAAGAAATACACAGTAATCAGAACGAGAAATTGCCCGTGGCCAACAAAAGTACTAGTAAATCATCCCATCTATACCTCGGCTAATTAAATATTTGCCAGCTAATTGAAGCAGCATATCTAGCCCTGGCTAGAAGAATTCATAATGAGTACTGCACTCTAATTTCATGTTGTCTTCTGTTGTGAGGTTTTGCTAGCAGATTAGCATTCCACTCCTGCCCTCGTTATTCAAAATTATTCACAGATACTCTCATGTGAATAAATCTAAATTATTTTCTCAAATAATTTGCGGGCATATTGTTGCAGCGTTACTCTTACTCTCTTACTGTTGCCTGTGGCAATGAACCTCAACTCGAATGTGGTTTTTTTTTTTTAAATAATTTTCCAAATTTAAACTCTGCAGAAACTAATAGTTTGGCACAGTAACAGAATGAGTAGGTCTGTGTTCCTCTGCCCATGCTGGGAAGAGGGTGATCAATAAACATGAGTGAAAAAAATGCTTTTAGATAGAGTTAGGTCATGTACCCTGAAGCAGCAGACTGAGCTCAGGTCTGACTGCAAAAAGCCATTTGACATATGCAAAGTCCTCCTGTGGTCCATAGTGTTTGTAAGCTGTGGCTGAGATTCCCAGGCTTGCATTTCTTCTGGTGGGAAGTTTGTGAGAGTCTTCCCAGATTTTCTGTGAACAAACCTGAACCTTGACTGCTCTTTCTGGAGCTTTCTCCAGCAAAAAGGGGAGCACCTGAAAGCAGGAATCTCTTGTAGTCTTGGTTCTGATATTTAGTATTTAGATTTGATCAAGAAAAAAGTATCTACCTAGTTGTTTCACTAGTTGTTTGAAACTCAGAAAGGCAAATAACCAACTGCGTCACTTTATGTGATGTAACCGAGTTGTGTGGCACAGCACAGCTCTGGCTGGAGCAATGAAACATGAATGTTTGCTCTCTGATTTCACTCATGTTTACTGATCGCAGGAGTTGACTGTAGCTGACTCTTGGGGGGAAGTCCTGGTTCTGGTAAGGTCAATGGCATTTGCTGAGATCCTTTTGAAGGACACCGATGGTGCACTGATGTCATCTAGACAGAATCTAGACAATTGTTATCCCTAATGCAATGCTATTCCTTCATCTTGCAGGTGGTAGGAATTTTTGCAGGATTTGGTCTTCTACTTTTGGTGGCCTCCCCTTTTCTTCTGCTTGCTACACCGTTTGTTCTGTGCTGCAAGTGCAAATGTAATAAAGGAGATGATGACCCTCTACCTACCTAGACTGAGAGAAGATTGGACTCATCACAACATGTGTTATGATTTTATTGTTGCCGTTGATGTTTCCCTCTTGCACTTACATTGCTGTAGCCTTACTTGCCCTGTTCTGCTTCTCGTTGACGCACAGTCTTGGTTCCAGGAGCTCTTGTTACTACTGTTGCATAGATCAATTGATAATAGACAAAGAGGGTAATGGAAGGTGAGTTTGGTGCTAAAGGGAGACCATGGACCTGGGAAACTATCTGAACTGAAGAGATGACACTGCTAAAAATAATGCAAAAATTTTCTGTTGCCCTGCTGATGGACTGGGAGCTGTGCTGAAAGACATCAGCAAAACAAGCTGAAAATACATACAAATCTAAACATTCTGCATATCTGTTCACTTCAAAATTAGGTGTCTTGTATATATTTAAGTTGCCTATCATTTAAATCTGATAGTCAACTTAGTATGACATTACCATGTTTATTACACACCTGTTTTTGTTAAAGCCATCAAAACATCCTTTTTAGTACCTATTTTTCCAAGAATAACAAAGTCAATAAGGTGCATATAGGCCATCTTATGCCTTTCTTGAAATTTGAGGAGGGTTAGAGGGACAAAGTTGGTCCTGTTACCTTCCAGGAATTTTTTGAAGTCTTATAAGAAATTTGTTTGATTGAAAACTACATTTTAAAAATGAATTGACGAAGCTGTAAGGTTGAGCGGTGACACAAACCTGCTATCTAATCAAGGTTCTTTTAAAAAATGCATTGAATGGTATTGATTACCGCTGAACCACTAGTGTTTTTCTGAATTGTTATTTTTTGCTGTTGTTTAGGGTTCTGCTACACTTACAGGGCTATGTAACTTCTAATCCAGGTATCTTAATCTTTTTATATAGAGAGAAATATATATAATCCTATTTAAACCAAATGTGTAAATAGCTGTGCTATTGAAATATTTTGGAAGTTCAAGAATAGCTTGCTTCTGTCTTTAGGGCAATTACTGAATAATACAGGACTAACTTTACTATTTAGCAGACTCTTGGGTTATCAATGAATCTTTCCTTTTAAGTATAAAAATACATCAGGGTTATCCCTGTAGTCAATAATAAAAATGCCTAGGATATTTGTGAAAGTTGTACTTTACATTTAAACTACTTAGCTCATTTTCAGAGTTAATATCGTATGATATATGGTGTATGATGTTAATAACAATACTGTGACAAAACAAGTTTTCCTTTGAAAAATAATCACTTGACTTGATTTGGTAGTTTTGCAGAATTCATAGTGCTGTATTTCCAGGGTAGTAAAGTGTGCTAGTCAACAGTATTAATCATTGTAGTTTCTCTTTAGAAATATTTTGCTGAAAATCATTTTGCTCTGATTTTAAAGCCTACAAGAATTTGACTAATAACTTCTTGACATCAAATATGAAGCATCTGAACCAATGTGTGTGTCTGTATAGTACTGAAGGAAAACATTCTTTTGACTGGTTTGTGGACTGAAGTTTGACTACGTTTTTTTTGTCATCATTTATTTCTGTGCATTATCAATGTACTGAGATGGATGAATATGTTGAAGCCAGGATAACTTTGTGCTGAAGATGTATTAAGACCCTTAAATGCAACTTTCTGTCACAGGCTGGGAATATGTTCTCATAGCTGAAGCATAAGAAATGGCTCCTGTCTTTATTATCTTTTGTTTTATACTGTCTATCTGTTAAATAAAAAGACTGGAGGGTACAATTTTGAAAAAGGGCCACTGTCTTTTTCTAAAACTGCTTTTGAATTTCTTCTCCTCCCCCTTCTTCCAAGTTTAATGGCATCCAAATTCAAACTGTATCAAACCACAGAGTTTAGCTCCAGAACAGGTTATCAGGAATTCACTTATTTGACTGGCTTTTAATGAGTTCAGCCATGATAGTGTGAAGAACAAGGATAGCTGGTTTCCAGCAAGTCTGAACTCCTTGTGATTATCTTCAGATTGTTTATGGCAATGCACAGTTCAGATCTCTTTTTATCACAATATTTTTAGTATTTTAGCTATCTTTGTTATTAAAAGTTGTTTAGTTGTTCCAAAATAACTGTAGGGGAAGTCTGGGTAGTGCATTCAGTGTTTGCCAG